CAGATGGCGTTAAACTGTGATAACGTGTTTATGTTGATGTGCATTGTTTAATTAGGTGGAATTTTTATTTAAATTAAAAAAATTATGACATGGCAAATTAGGGTTTTTCATTCTGCAAAGGGGAGGAAAAGGTTGTGCATGTAGTGGAGGTGCGAAGGAGATTGATTTTAAGGTGGAATCGATCTCACGATGGCACTGCTTGCACGGATGCTAGCGGTGAAGTGAGAAGGAACGTTGCGATTTGGTTGGTTCTAGGGGGTTTCTCTGTTTTGATTTTCTGCAGGTTTGTGTCAGGTGATGGTGGCGGAAGGGTTCCCCTACTCTGTGAGTTCAAGATTCTTGTTATTGCCATGGAGGAGGCTCGTAGATATTTGCGAACCGCAGCGGCCATTTTTGTCGTGATTTTGATTTGGTTTTCTGTGTTTTCAGGTTTCTAGTGAAGAAGATGAATGTTGTGTGGTTGCTGCAGGTGATTCGAGCGAAGGAGATTGTGGTGGAAATGTTCCCCTCCTCTACGACTTTTGGATTCTGGAGAATGCCATGAGAGAGGCTTGAGATTTGGCTTGTAGAGATTATGGATGCGTTCGTGGAGATTTGCGAATCGCAGCAACCATGGAGGCGTTGTTGGCGTTCCGGTGATGGTCTGATGTGGTGGAGAAAATTGGGTGGTGGCGTGAGGTCTTGCGTTGTTGATGGCGGTGGTTGCCTGAGGTAATGACGACAAGGTAGGCGTTGTTTGTGCTGCGAAGAAGATGATGTGTTGAAGCTTAACGGCGACGTGGAGGAGGGTTTCTAATAAAGGTTGATGGAGGAGGATGAATTAGGGTTAGGCGGCGGCCTTGCGACAGCACGACATGGACGGTGATGGTGGCGGCATAGTTGCGGCACGACGACAAGGGTTAGAGAATTAGGGTTTTTGTGGAGAGGATGATGATGTGGCAGCAAGGCTTATCAAATTCCACGTCCTAATTTAAAATTTATTTCCATGTAATAAGATCACACAAATCAGTATCACCACATCAACAGACTTTGACGCCGTCTGTAACAACTTAACGGACAAGGGAAAATTGACTCAATTTTACAAATATTATTGCCTAATTGAGACAGTTGCAAATATGAGGACCCACTTGAGATTCTCATACAAATATGAGGACCATCCAAGTTTTGTTAGCATAAAGCTAAAGAGCAGAAATTTTGGTGATGTCGCAAAGTCAAGTTTCAAGTGCTCTTATTGCAGGAAGATCTTCATGAAGACTTATTTTTATATTAAAGCTTTTATAATTTAGTAAATTTATGTATACGATGTGGTTTATAATTGATTCTATGTATTGTTTGTCTTAGGTTGCGTTAAAATTTATTTTAAATCAGAAAACCTCATTTTATACTCAAGATAAGTGATTATCAATTTATAATAATCGACTATCAATTTATAATAATCGATTATCAGTAATCAATTATGACTTGCCATAATTGATTATAATGAGCAATTATGAGAATTTTTAAGCAAGTTTTTTTTACCGTTGTGCATTCATTAAATGCAAAATTAATTACCATAATTGGATAATTGATTATCATACATTAATTAGTTAACAACGAATGTTTGGAGGTATCCTTGAGTGAGTTCTCTATAAATCAAAATATGAAATAGGTGTATTTCAGAAAATCTTATCTGCAGTGTGCGATGATAAGTGTTCTAAGGTTTGTTGAACCCTTGTGCTGTGGCTTTGAGAACTTGGTGTGTTGGCATAGAGCGAGAACTTTCACAGGGAGTGTGATTGAGTGTTGTTGTTGTTGCTGAGTTAAAAGCCTATCATCCTTCGTGAAACATTCAAAGGAGGTGTTCATCCTTTGTGAAGATTCAGAGGAGGTGTTCATCCCCTGTGGGTTACAGGGGAAGTGACTTTCATCTTTTGGGGGTAACAAGAGAGGTGATTTCTAAACTTTTACAAAGTGTTTCTTTTGATTGTAATTTGTAATTGTTTTGTGAGGAATGAACTGTTTATCTTGTTTTGAGATAAGCGACTGAATGTAGGATTGGTAAGATCCGAATCAGGATAAAATTATATGTGCAAATTTCTCTTAACCTTACTCTCTTTATTTTTTATTTTCATTTGCTTGGTAAGTTTAATTGAATAGAAATTAAAAGGCACACGTTCGGATTAAAAACCCTCTTGGTTTGTTATTCGATGCTAATCATTCCGCTGCGACCGCTCTGTCAAGTTTAAACCTAATTTTTAATATAACATGTCTTTGATGCATGCTCCCCTTTCAAACAATAGAAATAAGTTCCAATGAAGATGAGAATTGTTTTCTAAAATTGATTTTTTTTAATAATTTGTTTATTTTGATATGTAAAACCAATCCAACTTTACCTATAATAGACTTTTGAGTTTAAGAGTGCATCTAGATTTGATCTCTCTAGAATAAATTTTACCAGAGTTCACATAACATACTCAATTTTTATCAAATATTTCTCGTAATCCTTATCGTCAATAGTCTTTTATAATTTTCATAAATAACTTTTAATGCATCAATATTTGTTTTTAAATTATAATTTTCATCCTACAATTGTTTTTATCTATTCTTAAGTCATCTATATTGGTGCAAAATGGATCTAGAAAGGAGGGGGAAATTGAATAGAGCTTGTAGACATTTGAAAATCTTTTCGCACAAACATATTACATCAAATACAAATAACGTAAAGAGTAAGGAAGAGAAGTAAGCACAAAAGGATTTGTAGTTGTTCACCTCCACCTAAGGCTACATCCATCCTCTTAAGCCATCTGCTTAAGAAATTCATTAATCAACAACTTTTACTAGTAATGAGTATAAACTTCCCAAAGTTACAACGAGTGTCAACCACTATAGGTATCATGAGTCAATCCTCTCTAGGCACGAGTTTATCCTATCTAGGTATCACATCTTAATCTCCCCCTAAGATCAACAACTCATAATTACAATAAAAATAATCTCTCACATAGGAGAGTCACAATAACACTCATAGTGTTGAGGATTTATAGTTACAAAGTATAGTTATAATATGACAATAAAAATAATCTCTCACATAGGAGAGTCACAATAACACTCAATACAATATCACTTTATAACAAGATGGATATGACAATGTATAGTTATAAAGTATTCTCTCTTTATCTTATATTTTTTCTCTTCAAGAATAGATTTGATAATGTTTCAGTATTTCTTTTTTCTCTTGTCTCGTATTTCTTCTTCATTGAAGTCTTGATATATATAACTACACTTGTATCTATTGATTGTTGATGCAAAATATCTTCATATCTTCATATATCTTCAACTATTCTTCACTTTAGAAGTTCTTGGTAATCAATTAGATTGTATTATTCCAGGTGAATTATCAGTTCTTTCCTTTTCAACCTTTTAACAATTTGAATTTCAAACATTGTAATGTTGAGGCTTTAATCAGCTTAAGATTCTCTTGCAGTCTTCAATATGCAAAGTCCTTTTTTGTGTCTTGTGATTGATTGATACTCATATGACAATATTTAGAATAATCAATTCGAGAGGAATTTAAAATACTTCCTTATTTGGATAATTTGATATATGATCAACATTGTGGATATCCTTCAAATATAACTTTACTAATATTTTTAATCTTTGTTTCCATATTCATGTCTTCAATCAAAATATCTTCGTATTACATTGAGCCTTGTTGCACAACCTTGCTCGTGTGATATCTTCCTGATTGACTGATCATCTTGACCATCAATATCAACATTTAGGTTTGTTTGATAAATTTGCAATTAATCATGACAACCTTGTGATTGTATATTTTTTTCGCACCTTTCTAATCTTTATGTGTTTGAATAATTTGATACTTGTTAAATGTCTTGACCTTTGACTCGTATAATCATTCTTCCTAATTAGGTTGTCTGATGAAAGTACTCGTATAATAAGTGTTTCAGTGTTATGCTTCATGAATTGACTTTGACTCGTATGATAAATACTTGTCTAGTGTCCTTTGTGTATTTTGCACTGACTCGTCTAATATTTATGTTGACTAGTTATAGTGCTTCTGACTCATCTAATGCTTCTTTTTTATTCTTGTATGCTTCCTTGCTTTGACTTGTCTATCCCTTTGTAGAAATCCAATGCTTTACTACTTTAGGAAGTTGACCCATCTAGTTAACACAGTCATCTGACACTGTATTTTTCTCTTACACTCTTTGAGTCGTTTGATCCTTATATTTTAACTTGTTGTCTTGTGTCATCTAACACGTTCAAATTAACCCAAGTAATTTGGCGTTTGTGTAGAACTTAAGTCGTAGATGGTTTGGTCATCTAATCTAGCCTTCCATTTGTCTACCCAGTGCTTTCAATAGAGTTCGTCTAAGCCTTACTTTTTCATATGTTTATTTCTTTTTTTAAAGCATTAACTTATTATTTGTTGCATTGTATTGGTTTAAACTCATTGAACACACGTTTAAACTCATTAAGCACACATATATTTTTGTTTGTTTCCTTATAAGTTTTGTTCTATCAAAATCTATTCAATCTAAGCTTGTTTGGAACAGTGTAGTTTTTTGCTATTAAAATTATGTTGACATTATTTTTAAAGAAAGACAACAGTATAAGTGACTATGTAACACCAAAGTAGTTGATATTATCCAAGATAACACATTTTATTTATACTATAGCATATTTGTATTGCCACATTGTCACATTCTAAATAATTCTAAATAATGCTAATTTAACATATACGAAATCATATTAATTCTTTTTAATAAAGATGAAGACTATAGAGAAAAAAATTTAACAAAAAATTTAAACCTAAAATTAATTAGTTTTCTTAATAAATGTGAATTTGTTGAAAAAGTCATACTAAAGAGTTCAATAGTACGGTCGAACCTAAAGGATTCACGCTCAGAAGTGAATTTCTATAGTAGTTCTATTTCGCCATTATTTTAGTTAGATAGAACTTAACGTGGTACTATTTTAATAGTTCAAAGCACGAATTATTAAAAAGACAACTTTAAAAAAATGAGCATAAAGTTGAAGTGATGGAAGGAAGAAAACAACAAGAAGAACACGGGAGGAGGCAAAAATGAGCTTGGTTAGAATTAAATATTGAAATTCCCAAGATAGCAGAGGATCATAGAATTACAAGTTGCTGCGAAAAGAGAGTTTTTTCACAACCTAATCATATGCTGCCAATCGTAAGATCCAACATGTCTCAAACACTAAGTTGCATAATACAACACCCAATGGACTCAACTTTGATGAAGTCACTGTCCCACAACCCAAAGAACTCCAATTCCTCCACACTCATCAAGTGCTTTGCCAAAAATTCTGGTCCTTCTGCCAAGATCATGGCTTCTGCTACACCTACAGCAGCCCCCATCACCTTTGGATTCAGAAATTTGTTGGAAACATTCACTGTTGATGTGCATAGAGCAGAGAATAGGCAACTGAATGTGCCCTTAATTGCTCCTTTTACCATTGCTACCTCTAGACTGGACAAGGTGGAGAACGTGGCCATAAGAGTTGAGTTGAGCAATGGTGCTGTGGGGTGGGGCGAGGCACCGATTTTGCCTTTTGTTACAGCAGAGGACCAAACCATCGCCATGGCCAAGGCTTCTGAGGCATGTGCCTTCTTGAGGAGATGCCCTGCACTAACTTTGGGTTCCATGCTGGGAGAGATTGCTGGTATTCTTCCTGGGCATCAATTTGCTTCAGTGAGTCAGAATAACCACTATTCAAGTTTCTCTAGTGCTTCTGCTGTTGTTGTTAATCATTCTAATCCTCTCTATTCGTTTCAACACTTACTGTATCACTTTTTGTGCTTTTGAAATGGTCTCTTTGAACCTTTTTTAGGAAAATTCCTTGAATTTTGAGTAACAGTTTCAGTTTTCTACTTGATCACTGAGGACATGAAAGAAAAGTAGCATATTTTGAGAAAATTTGAATATTCGTATTGGGATTGTATTTTGTAATCTTTACTTGCCTGAACTTTGCCTTGTATGACTTTTATTTTGGACCACTGGTCTATTTCTTTTCTTTCCTTGATTTTAAGAAACTATTTTGCTGCATCCATCTTTGCTTATTTCTTTTGTAGAGTATTCAAGAGAAAGAAAAAGTCTTTTCTTAGTCCCCTCTTTGAATCGATCGTACTCTCATCAGAATAATGCATTTTCTTTTTATATTTACCATGAAAGGAAGATAATCTTGCTGTGAAGAGAGGAAAGTGGAAAAAGAGTAGAGTCCAGATGTTAGATCTTTCTATTACTGAGAATCTTGTTCGGCATGCTTGATTTAGCAGAGTGTGAGTCTCGGTGTAATTACAGTCAACCAGTATATGCATACATGAGACTTTCAAGAATGAGTATTAAAATGTGTCACATGTTGATTTGGGTTCATTTCCAAGGATGAGTAACGGCAGTCATAAATAAGTGAGGTGTTGTGTACGTAGACTTGCATTACATGCATGCATGGATTCTTGTACATCATCAGATCTGCCATTAAGATCTTTCCTTACATGACAGATATAGGACTTAACATCTTTTCCCCATCTTTAATTTTATTTTATTTTAAGAGATTAGTAGTTACGTTTTCATGGAAAATCAAAGCTCACTTTCTTAATCAATGTGTTAGTAAAACATTTTGCATTCTCATGGGGTTCCCCACTGTGATTGAAGGTTAGGGCTGGGGTGGAGATGGCAATAATTGATGCTGCTGCAAATAGTATTCGTGTGCCATTGTGGAGGCTTTTTGGTGGGGCTTCTAATACCATAACCACCGACATAACAGTTAAGTTCTTTTTCAATCTCAAACAAAATGCTTATCATAAAAATAGGTATTAAAAAATCTGAGAAAAGAACTATCTTATAGAAGGAAATCTAATCCAGCTTATATTTGCAGATCCCAATTGTTTCTCCAGCTGAAGCAGCTGAATTGGCTTCTAAGTACTATAAAGAAGGGTTTAAGACTTTAAAGCTGAAGGTGGGAAAGAATCTCAATGCAGATATAGAAGTGCTGCAAGCTATACGTGTTGCCCACCCCGAGTGTCAGTTTATTCTTGATGCTAATGAAGGGTATAATTCTGAGGAAGCAGTGGAAGTTCTTGAGAAATTACACGGTTAAAAACTAAAACATAGTTAAAGTTTTTCTCCATCCAAATATCTTTTGAGAACATGCTAGCACACATCCACTAATACTGATGAAACTTTGTATGAATATTTTAGGCAATTTGGCATTGAACTTAGATTTATTTTTTGTATTGCAGATATGGGGTTGACTCCTATTCTATTTGAGCAACCAGTTCACAGAGATGATTGGGATGGTCTTCGGTATGTGAGTAGTATAGCAAGAGAGAGATATGGTGTATCTGTTGCAGCTGATGAGAGTTGCAGAAGTATAGTTGATATTTACAAAATTGTGGAAGGGAATGTTTTAGATGTGATTAACATTAAGCTTGCCAAAGTTGGGGTTATGGGGGCCCTTGAAATTATTGAAAAGGCAAAAGCAGCAGGATTAGATTTGATGATTGGTGGTATGGTTGAGACTAGACTTGCTATGGGTTTTGCTGGCCAACTTGCTGCTGGCCTTGGATGCTTTAAGTATGTATAAGCCAGTTTTTAATTCTTAAACTTCTATATAAATTTTGTATACATCAGCTTTTAGAGAATTTCACGTGTGAGAGAATCTTAATTCATTTCTCTTCTCTTACAAAGTATTTTGGAGAAGTTTATCCGAACTTAGGTTCATATTATTTTTCATTCGGTTTTGTCCACCTACACTATTTTATTGATTCATTTAAATATTCAAAACTCTTTTGTAGGTTCATTGACTTAGATACACCACTTCTGCTATCAGATGATCCAGTTCTTGAAGGTTATGAAGGTGCAGTCTGCCTAATTTTCAAATAAATTTGAAGTTTTCTTGTACATATTGGTTTGAATGATATGTTTGCAGTATGATATGTTTGTAGTATTTCTCTTGAACAGTTTCAGGTGCCACTTACAAGTTCTCAAACGCTAGGGGACATGGTGGATTCCTTCACTGGGACAACATTGCATAGTAAGTTGTGATTTTCTGGCACAATATGACTCTGGTGTAAGATTCATAGGATAAGAATGATTTACATCTTAAAGCAAAGTGTTCAAGTCTTATGTTCTGTTGGAAAGCAAAATACTTACTGAAGATAAGAAGCCAATCTTTCAACCCTTCACCTAATAACGAAATACTTTAAGGGTCTATGCCTTAATGGTCTAGAGTTTGATCTTTGTTCGTCATATTCTTCAAATTCAATTGAATTTGTGGAGTGGGAATCTGCTAGTCCACCTGACAACACGAAAGTGTTCTTGCATGACAAGGCATGCTAGAGACATAGAACCTACTTGTGGCTGCACTAGCTTTCAGAATTTCAAAGCAAAAAGTTCACCTTTAATCTCAATTCTTCTTGCCAGAATGAAGAAAATGTTGTTTATTCAAATGTTTTTATTTTGGACAATAGGATGAATCAAATTTGTTCTTTTGAACGTGAAGGGTGGAGTCTTAATAGTACCTATGTGCATGTAATGCCTTTCTGTATATGCTACCTTCATTATTGACATCTTGATTAAATTATGCGCAGACGATAGAGATGCTTATGCCAACACAAGAATCTGGAAAAGCATAAATGGACAAGTTGGTTAGAAGGTTAGAAAATTGAGTAAGAAATGAAGAATGACCACTGATGGGCTTGTGCATGAAAAATAAGATGTGCAACTGTTACAACTTAGCGTTAAATATTACAATAACAACCATTCATGAAGATTTCTTGTGCGGAATGAGTAGCTAGTACCTATCCACGACAACTATGTAATCGATTCCTCACCTTATTCTCGAAAGGTCTTGCACCAGATAAGAGCTAGGAATCGCACATTATGATAATATGATATGGGTATGGAAATACAGCAAATTTTAGAAATTAGACTTAAATTTTGCGCTGTTGGTTTCAATAATTTAAACTGTGATTTTTAGACTGTTTTTTTGTTTCACCTAATCAAGTTATTCTATCTCCAAAATCAAGAAAATAGGTGGGAGATAAAATGTGCAAGGTTCTAAAAGTAGACTTAGATTCAATCGAATTATTTCACTCATTCGTTGTTTATCATTCCAAATTTATGTCCTATCAGGTTAAATTCTTGACAACCAACATTAACATTTTGCTTTGTGTCTAACGATTTTCCACTATCTTACATATTTACTCGTAAAGTACACAAGGCTCAAGGGGATTTTCTTACATGCAGCAAAGAAAATATGTGTATACCTTATATGTACATGTGCAAGTCTAAAGTGGAATATCATTAGCCATGTAGACAAAACATTAACACTGTCTATCAATAAGAACCATTATTTCATTTATCTAAAATTATAAAGATAAAAAAGCTAAATTAAATTATATAAAAAACATATTTAACAGTAAAACAATTATCGATGAGTTAGGATCCCGGAATGAATAATGTGCGAGTATGTAGTAAGTAGTCTATAACACGTTCGGTTTCTAGTTTTAAAGTCCCATTCTACAATTTGAGAAAAAGTTATTTGCATTTGTATACTTCAAAACCATGGTTAGAGAATTCCAATCTAAACATTATACTTTTTGGTTGCACCTAGTAACATAGCATGCACCTCACCGACTTCTGCTTCCCTGATGCTGTACTCTAATGCACCTTGCACAATTCTACAACATAGAAGCAAATTCGGTATGGCAAGAGGAATGCTATGTAACTCTGTGTGGCCAATTGATAATTTATTATACCAAATACTCCGCACTTTTAAAGCAAGGAATCTGAAAAATATTTTTCATACTGTTTCACAATACAACAACTAGTTCAGATTCACCAGTGTGAAAACTGATACCTACATGATTAATATCATGCGTTCTCTACAGATCATTCCACCAATATCGAGCTAATTATGAACATCTTTAAGTCTACAACAAGCTTACCCCAGTAGCTGTGGTAAGTCAAACAATTAAACACCGTAAGTCTAAAACTTACTTTAAAACAGTAGTGCACACTTACAGTACCATCTCTTCCATCACCAGAGCAATATCATGATCATCAGATATAGTGCCAAAATTGGGCCACGTAACACAGCAAAATCTTAGCATTTCACCCATTTTCTTCCATATCACACCATCTGTAAATATTTATCTCTAGAAATTAAGGGGATCTCTACCACTATTGAACCGAAAGGCTTGTACAGTTTGGCTTTATCCCACACATCCTTCCTGTTAACTAGTTCGCCATATTCTAGTTTCTCACTCATTTCATTAGAACCTTCCACTTATCTGATAGTTTTTCCTCCGTATTTCTTTTTCTTTTTCACTTAAGCAACCTCTAAGTTCATTGCTTGATATCGGCTTCATCTTTTGTACTGCTTAGGCATATCACAAGAATCCACAATTAGGCAGTCATCACGCCATCAAAACCTCTACAGATGGATAGTTTTTTATCAAGTTTGCTTTAAGCAATGAACAGAAATTAAGGCTCAATTTTAGCCAAAAGCAGGAATGCCAAGTCTTCTTATTCAGTTCATCTATGATAGGTGCCATGTGATTTAAAGAACTGAAAATCCGGGTGGTTAACCTGAACAAGCCTTAACCATTTATCCGCAGCCTGCAAGAAGGAACTCACTTGTTGAGTCTCACCAACTCCTTTTTTCATCCAAACAGACCCCTTTAACTTATAGGAAGCCATTGCAAAAGTAGGTATAGAAATCTTTGGTGCAGCATCTGTCTCACTGGGATAAACAAGTGTTGGAGCATGAGTACAATCACTTCCTGCAAAGTGTAATAAAAAGAAATTTTTTACAATAGTCAGTATTTCATCAAAGTGATCAAGCAGCAACTATTTCATGTTTCTGGGACAAAGCCCTGTGTTTGCAATAAGTTGATATAACATCAAACAGCAAGTTAAGTATTATTGCACAATAAGATTAAGCAGTAACTTCTGTTTTTCCATATATGCAATTTCAAATTGAGGGTAAATGACCATACATTAAGAGATTAAGACAACAAACGATACTAAAATTCTGTTAGCTTTATGCTGGGGAGGGACTATGGAAAGCATAATAGTCGCCACAACGATTGATGGTAAAATATTTGAGGAATAAAAATAACTTTTATGTGGTTATTTATTAATTTGGAAAAACCATACAATAGAATAGAGGAGAGATTTTGGAAGGCCTTCGAGAATAAAGAGTTCATATTGTCTATATTTAAGTAATCAGAGATATGTACAAGGGGGTAAAAAATAAGTGAGAAGTGAGAACACAGGGTGGGGTCAAAGCAAATTTCCTTTAACAATATATTTGCATCAGCTCAACTTGTTTTGACTTGCTGAATCTTGGATTTGCTTACTGAGTATTTCTAAGAACTAACAGTTTCTTTTGTAGATAATATAGTCCTAATTGGTATTATGGATGAGAAAAAAATCCATAAAATTAGACCTGTTCTATTACTGGACTAATCCAATACATTACAGATCCAAAAAACATGATTTAGAATTAAATCCAAATTTATATTTTGTTAAAAAAACTAGTTTAGATTTTTATAGATCCAAATCCATATTTTACAAAAAAAAAATAGTTTGGATAGTTTTAAATCGGTTTGATTTGATACCAATTTCAAAACCAGTATTTAAAAAAAAAATTGAGAGTAAATCCAAAATAATTTAAAATTAAGAATAACAAATATGTTCATTGGACATCAAATTTGATTCAACCTAATAATAGGTAATATGATATGATGAAAAAGTAATGATATTTAGTGCGAAACGTTTTCACATGAAACTCACTTGTATAGATGAATAAGCAGCACTTGTTTAAATAATATTAATAAAACATATATCAAACATGATTTGAGAACATATCCTCCAGGTGTATTTACCTAGTTCAATTTTATAATTATTAGCAATATGAAGATAAAAACATAGATACCAATAAAAGTAACTATGTATGTACAAATTCTTCGATTTAGTGCAAGATAAAAAAAAATAAAATTATTTTATATTTTATATTTTCATTATATGTTTTCTTTTTCCAACACTAAATAAGTGTATTCCATTTTCTTTCTATAAGAAAAACTTACACGAAAGCTGTTGAGCCATCCTAACTAAAAACATTTTTATGCTTAGGAAACATGCTTCTATAAATTTACCAAAACACAGTAACTGATATCACGTTTCAACACAGTAATATACCATTTGTCCTCATTAGGAAATGATGCGCACTCACACTGAAGACTCACCACTCGAGTGTATCAAATATTGTACCTAGCTATATAGGGAACATGTACCAAATATTAAAAAACACTGGTTTGGTTTTTAGATTATTAATTAATTACACAATTTATGAAATATGAAAAATTCCAACATTTTCATTCAAAAAAAATATTCTTTGAAAATATATAATAATTTTAAATGATTTTGGTTATAACACTGATACTGAAAAGAATACCAGTTTCAAAGTTGGTATCAAACTGATTTATAAACATTTAAACTAGTTTTGTTTAGAAAGGAAGATTTTGGATGTAAAATCCAAACCAATTATTTAAATTTGGATCTATAAAAGTCCAGAAAAAATTTGTACGGAAAATGGAATGTAAGTTTAGAAAAAAATTGGAGGCCATTATCACAAATTGCACATGTATCTTGCGCTCATCATTAAAAAAATGACAAATAGATAGATGGTGATGATTGAAGCAGGCTGAATGAAATAAAGCATCTCTAGTGTTATGTATGACTAAGAGGTATCCCTCAAGCTTAAGTGAAAATCATTCCATGCAGCTATAGGTCCTGTGATGTAGTATGGAATTGAGTGTTGGGCACTAAAAACATCGATGAGAGAATAAATTCCACATGACAGAGATGAGAATGTTGCCTCGGGTGAGTAGACTTACTGGAAAAAATAACAATGGGAATGGATGCAATAATAACTATTGTACGGAAAAACCCAGTAGTTCCCCTTATGAGTTTTGGGATGCCTGGAGAAGATTTGTAGGAGACCCAATAAGAAGTATAAAACAGATGGAAGGTAGCCTATTGCTAGAGGTAGAAAGAGGGTTTTTTAAAAAGAAAAACTAAGGGTGAAACCACCAAAAATAATGTAGAGTTAATAGGTTATTTAAAGAAATGATATACAGTAAAGTATTACGATATCAGTTGATCCGTATAGCTGACTCCATGAAAAAGGTATGGTAGTGGTGGACGTAGTCAAATTCAAATTGCAAAAAGAAATCCCTTAGTGTCATTCCTTGTCTATCAAATCATCCGTCATTAGAAGGCAAACAAAATATTTAGTTGCAGTCAGTTGCAGATTTGTACTCATTCTTTTTAGTTGCACAGTTGACAAATAGATGCAGTCAATTTCCATATAAATGTGTATCGAGAATTTCCAAAAGATACTATTCAAAGAAAGGCACATGTACTATGGTACTCTACATAAATAAGTACACGATAGCTAGCTTGAAATAGCAAAACAAGAAAGAACTAGCATAAGTAACCAATACCATGGGCATATCACATTTTAGCTAAAACATCAGCCATACTTGAATGCTAAGAAGAAAATTCAATGTGCAAAGCATCGAAGCCTATGAAAACAAGTAATTACTGAGTGGTACCGGACGTAGTCCCCTCAAACAAGGTCTCCAATTAGAGAATTATGGATGAAAAAAGAAGTGTTTTTCACAGTAGACCTTGCTGAAGGTGATCAACTAGGTTTCCAATAGGAGATTAGCTACAAACAAACACTGGTGGATTCTCCACACCAATGACATGGTATTAAAAAACCCTAAAACAACCTAGGTATTTTTAAATTGGTTTTGACACAATTTGACCAAAAATGGGAGAACAGCCACCTAACTAGTTAATAATAAGAATTATGATTAATAAACAATCTCTTTCTCTACCACCCCAGCCCATATTTTGTTTGTCAAAGTAAAAAAATATGTCACCCATCTTAAATTTAGAGTG